TGGTGAGAAACATTGCGATATCTCCACCAAAAAAATCTGCTTCACAATAAACAGATTACTGTCTGATCACTGAACTGAGATGTGAAAAAAAAAAATATTTAATGATCAGACTTAGATTTCTTCATTTAGATTTCTTTATCTTTACAGGACTGCAGGACATAAATCCACAAATCATATTAACTGTATAATCTCACTGCTCAGTTATAATAAATGTCACATTGCCTTATAAAAATGCATGTGCTATGATTAAATGAGAGAAATGTTTGATATAACGAGACACAATGTCCTTCTTTGCAATAAGTACAACAACAACTTCTAAAGTAAAATGCATAGGGAAAGAATGACAGGTGTGACAACTTTTCTGAACACTGTATACAATGTATACCATACGCATAAAGTTACACCAATCCACACACAAATCAAAACACCAATTTGTAACAGCAATTTGTAATAAAAAAGTGAAAAAAATGTAAACGCAAATGCTAAGAAACAATTTGTATTTCAGTAACTGTTTCATTAATTGTTAAGCTGTCCAATTTTTGTGAATGTGAAATGATTGGCAATTAAAAATGCAAAATGAACAGTTACCAATGATACAATTTGCAAGCATTGCAAAATAATATTTGCTAGGGTATATATATTTATAACGTTCATAAGCATACATAAAATATGGGTCCTATAAATGAAAACACTATAAATTATCCCTATACACATACAAAAAAAAATAATAATCACATTTTCTCTATGTAATAAAAATCAGAATTATTTTAGACATCATAAATAAAATTAGAAAAAAAATGCAAAAACAAAAAAAAAGAATTAAAAAAAACCCAAAAAACTAAAGGAAATATAAGCTGGATTTGAGATCAGTGATTTTGTGTAGGCATCCATACAGTTTGCTGCACTCATAGATTGCTGCTTGTCAGAGAGCTGATACACAGCTAACTCTTACCTTCCCTGGGCCAGTCTGCAACTGGAAAGAGTGAGCCACGTGAACACACAGATATGTGAGAAGATGAAAAGCCCTTGGTTAGGGACTGTGGTCAAACTGCAAGCAGGACAACTGGAACAACTTTCTAAGGGAGTGTGGGGAAAGATATGCAACAAAGTATCATGTTGGGTTTGGGGGGGGGGGGAGGTTGTGTGTGTTTTTCACAGACTGGGGTTTTGTGTAAAAAAAAAAAAGGAAATCACTTAAATGTATAAAAACTTCAAAGATAAAATGTATTTGTGATTTCTGTTGGAAAAGCAAGTCTTATGGCTTGACTGGTGTGCAGATTTTTGTTTAACATTGTATTAACTCTATATATATATATATTTTTTTTTTTTTTTTTTTTGCAAGAGCAATAAGGTGATAATCTTTAGTTGCATTGGGACCTGGGGATTTGTTGACAAAAAGGTCAAAGTCAAGTGGAACTGTTACTTTTCCGATTTTTGGCGAATCCAGTAACTCACTGGATTATATACTTACGTGAGAATTCTAAGTGATTTCAAAGTGAATTTTAAATTTTAGACAAAAAATAGCTAAACTTATATTATATAAACATATATTCCTGACACTATAGTGCTGGTGTGGCTGGTTTGGTCCCCGGCCCCACTGTCTGTGCTGTGAAAAGGTTAGGGTTTTTTTTTTTATACCAGTCTCGCCGTGGCCCAGCCTTGTCCTGCCTCTGTGGCTGAGATCATCGATTTTGATGATCTCTCAGGCAATCCAATGCTTTTCCATAGGAAAGCATTGGGAGGCTATTGCACATGCATGTCAAACCGCTGCGCTGCACCAATCAGCATCTCCTCACGGAGAAGCACTGAATCAATGCATCTCTATGGGGAATGTTCAGCGCCTCCATCCAGAGCGTGTAGACGCTGAACGTCAGTGCTACACAGTGTGCTGTACTGGACTTGGAAGCACCTCTATTGGCCGTCTGCCACTTTCTCTGAAATGGCAGTGTTCACATTGCAAAGCCTGAAAGGACAGGCTATACACACCAATCATTTACTGATTTCCTATGGGGAAGCTTTAACCTGTGGGCAGCGCTCTGGCAATGGATTAATGTAAGTAAAAAAGAGAAATAGGAACAGGGACACTACAGTGTTAAGAATACAGGTTTGTATCCCTAACTCTATAGTGTTCCTTTAATAATGAGGATGAAGACGCTGAACGTCGTCCCTGCAATGATGAGTGGCAGCCACTATAGGGTTACTTAGGGACAATGCAAACACTGCCTTTTTCAAAATAAGACTGCAGTGACAATCTCTTTACACCATCACCACTACATTAACGTGTGGTGGTTTTGGTGCCTAGGGTGTTTCTTTAAAGGAAACAGAGTAACACATGGAAAAGGATAACACAAGTTAAATGTAAATTCTCAATGTTTTATTTAATAAGTGTATTTTCCAGAAAAGTGACAGATTTGCTTTAAATTTAGCCTTCAGTAATCTTTTCTTGATTATTTGACTAGTGAGTTAGATGGGTTTTACACTCCTAGGCGGCAGTAATGACTATAGTACACATCAGCCCCAATACATACAATAAAGTTACTTGCGCACTATCCCGAATCCTAATGCACGTTTAAATTACTGGAGTTTTTTAGTATCACTCCAATGGCAATTCAAGTGTAAGATCACATGCCACGTCAAGGCAATTAAACCCATCAACATCTCTAACAGTCATACCCACAGCCAAAACGTATCGTGTCATGTAGCCTTTCCAAAAACAACAATATAGAATGTATTGATGGAATACAGCGAGGGACCCAATTCGTTTGTGTGACAATCTTCATTTAATCATTATGTAGATACTGACGTGAAATTAAGATAGTCACCATAGTTTCACAGAAGGATTAAGAGAACATGGCAGAGTAAGGAATTCAGCGGGTCACATCAGACACCTTAACTCTGAAAATAATGCTTTAAAATGACAGACAATTGATTGAGTAAGTTCATTCCCAGCTCGGCAAACATAGGGTTGGTAAGTGAGAGGTTACCCTTAGCTGTACGTTCACACCAAGCAGCAGAAAAAAATGTGAGACAGTAGATTAGAGAAGAGAGCAAAAAGTGAGAAACGTAAGGAGTGAGGAAAGAAAAATGGGGGGCGTAGGCAGCGATGCATTTGCCGTGAGGTAAAGGTAGGGAGGCTGGATGGATTTAAATTAAAATTTTAAAATAATCTCCGAGTGTTGGGGAGGAGATGTGTGTGTGTGTGTGTGTATCTGGCTGTCAGTGTGTGTGTGTCTGGCTGTCAGTGTGTGTGCATGTGTGGCTGGCTGTCAGTGTGTGTGTGTGGCTGGCTGTCAGTGTGTCTGTATATGTATGTCTGCCAGTGTGTGTGAGTGTGTGTGTCTGCCAGTGAATGTGTGTATGTCTGTCAGTGTGCATCTGTGAGTGAGCATGTGTCTGAGTGATTGTGTGTTTGTGAGCGAGTGTGTGTGTCTGTCTGTCAGTGTGTCTGTGAGGGAGTCTGTGTGTCTTAGTGACTGTGTGTGTCTGTGAGTGTTTGTCTGTCAGTGAATGTGTGTTTGTGTCTGAGTGATTGTGTGTATGTCTCTCAGTGTGTGTCTGTGAGTGCGCCTGTGTGTCTGAGTGATTGTGTGTATGTCTCTCAGTGTGTGTCTGTGAGTGCGCCTGTGTGTCTGAGTGAGTGTATGTGTCTGTGATTATATCTGTGAGTGTGTGTGTATGTCTGACAGTATGTGTCTGTGAGGGAGCCTGTGTGTGTGTCTGTGAGTATGTGTGTGTGTCTGAGTGATTGTGTATGCCTGTCGGTGTGGGTGTGTGTGTTAGTGATTGAGTATGTGTGTGTCTGCATCATTGTGTATGTCAGTGAGTGTGTGCATGTCTGTCAGTGATTGTGTGTGTCTGTCAGATTGTGTCAAATCAGTGTGTGTATATCAGTATATCTGAGAGTGTGTGTCTGTCAGTCTGTCAGAGTGTGTGTTAGTCTTTACCAGGAAGAGGTGTGGCATTGCCCGGAAGGAATGCAACACCGGACGGGAGGCAAATGTAAATTAGGGGATGCCCGAGTACCGTCATGCCTAGTGCAGCACAGATCCAAAATACACCACTGGGTGTAGGGAGAGAATGTCAGGGACACAATTTAGTTAATAGGGTATGGCTACTGAATGTGGTTACTTGAGAGCATTTTCATATTTATAGAAACTGACTGTAAACACATTTACTGTCGCTTAATCACACATTACTGTGATTTTATTGCTGTGAAGATATATGATACACTCAAACAAACTGCTCATTGCTGAGATTTTTATTGCTGTGAAACCCTGTCATAAATTCTTGCACACTGTGCATGAAAGAGAGGGAGCCAGGGTATGCCTGATACCATAACCAATACAGCAGGCTACAGTGGCTATGGTGCTTATTCCAGACATGCATATATACCCTGGACTGCATGATGACCTATATCTGTAGGCTTGCTAGCAATCATCATTAACCCAGAAACAAGAGAACTATGATCAATGTTTTAAATAGATACTTTGAAAGGAAAGTTTACAGCGACCGTTTCCTAGCAACGCCACCATCAGAGTAAGCTGCAACAGTTATGGTGCTTTGAGTGTTTGTTTAATGCCTGATAAAGGCTCCTGTGGGAGCCGAATTGTTGTGTAGATTCCAAATAAATCTTTCTTAACACCTGTCTGTGCCCGGTCAAACTTTCTTCATGATTATTGATAAATTGGGATTGGTCCACTTTGGTCTGGAAGCACCATGGATGGAAATTATTTAGCGAGTGCCACTCCACTTTATGCATATTGAGTGTTCGTTTAGTCCGAAAAATGTAATAGTTGGAATTTTTATGAACACTATAAACTTGGACCATATGATGATGTGATCTACTTCAATTTGTATCACCATTAAAAATAACTCTGTTTTAGATTCTGTATACTGGTAACAGTGTCCAAAAGATGACGCCCACACTGAGGCATCTCTGTATCGGGTTGTGATATAGAGTGAGTGTCTTAATGTATCCGAGTGTTTTCCAGTATACAGCCTGCTGAGCGGGTTTAGGTCATGGGTCAGTGAACGCGATGGAAACTATCCTATAGTGTAAAAGCAGCTGCAGAACGGACAGCCAAGAAGCAGGGAATCATTTCACTTCTTTACAGATGGTAAGTTGTCCCTAAAGAAATTCTGTTTAGCTCAATATTAAATGTTACTAGGTTTTTACCATAAAATCTACCATTAGATGCACTATGTCTCCTTAAGAGTGTCACTAGGTTGCTATAAATGATTTTATAAAATATATCCACTATAACTAAGATAAAACCGAGCAGTAAAAGCATAACCTATCCCAGGGATGGCATATAATGCTGTTTGCAGTTTGTTCCCTGCCTCTCTGCACCCTAAAGCTCTCTTCGCTCAGCCAACAGCTCACAATTCTGCCTGATGGACCCCAGGTAAGAAGCCAGACCTTTAGCAAACGGTTAGACTATGTACATTGGTGGAGCGCCAGTTAACTCCCGGAACAGTGGTTATGGTGCTTGGAGTGTTCCTTCAAAAATGGCACTTTTTTTCCCCAACATTTGTCCTAATTATTGCAGCTCTGCATTCACTATAGCTCAGTTACCACTTTACCAAGGTTCCAGCGCCGATGTCACTTGGCGCTGGTTCGGGCTCTGCCTCTGCTTCTCCCCCACCAACGTCATCCGGTGGCAGAGACCTAATGCGCATAAGTGCCAATCACCATGCTCGCATTAATATTTCCCCCATAGGAAAGGATGTATAATGCTTTCCTATGGGGTTTTTCATGACTCTGGAAGTCCCCTAATGCACAGCGTGAGGACATCCAGCATCAGTTAGGCGGATAATCACCCTATAGTTGGTGTTTGGCAGATTAAAAACTGCAATAATTATCTTTGCAGGGTTAATGGACCTGGGACTGTACACCAGACCACTTCAACGAGATGACCTTCAAAGAGATGTCCCTTTAATACATTGCAACAGGATTCCTTTCGGATACACTTTGCACTATGTGACTTCTCTGCTTTTCTTGGTTGTCCTGAACATTTTTTGAGTCTTTAAGAATAACTCTTTTCGACTTTCGGAATTTATTTGAAATTTCTTTGAAATTCCAATATAATTAAAAGATATGCATGAGACAATACTTGTGTAATCTCGTGTAGTTGCCAATCTCTGGCTAAAGGCAGAGTCTCCAACGCCATTTCCCATTAGCCATCAGTTGAAGAAGAAAGAATTGAGAACAAGTGTCATCTCGCCCAATGCGAAACAGCAGTCTATGGCACCGTACTGCTTTATGTGCAAAATCATTTAAAGTCTCACAGAATCCTCCACAGATCCTCTTTTGTAGGCACAAGAGTACGACTACGACAACAGCTATTATGACGGTGAGAAGATGGCGACATCAAGGAGGGACAGCTTAAGGTACATATATACCCCTATCTGCTCTCCCTTTGCTACTTAAACACAAGCGGACATGTCATCTTGTGGAATCTTTGCAGAAAATGCAACAGTCTCACAAATGACAATGTCACTTTAAAGTCTGTGATGGATCTGACAGGCAGCCTGTAGAATACAAAGTTATTTTAGCACATGTCATAAGGTGACTATTGTGTTATTAGGATACAGTCCAAACTATCTGAACATAGACAGAGCACGAACCATGTAATCATCGACCATGCAACCACCCATCATTATTACTCAACCGATTCTAAATTAAAAATGATGAGATTACTGGGTTTGGGTATTTGTCAATCTTTTATTACTTTGTACATATGAGACGCCTTAAATCAAGCTTCCCCAAACTCTGGCCCTCCAGATGTTGCTGAGCTACAACTCCCATGATTCTCAGCCTATTTCATTCATAGAATCATGGGAGTTGTAGTTCAGCAACATCTGGAGGGACGGAGTTTGAGGGAGCCTGCAAATGAAATACAAGCCATTTTTAAAAATATGTACAGTTTGTGATACTCAAGGCAGCCACTCACTGACAATGTAAGGGAAAGGATGCAAAATTGGGTCTGTATAAAAAGAAATTCTCAGCCAACAATCTAATTGCGGAACAATTAGCATGTACATTCCATAGAGGACATAGTCTTAAATTAGAGGGAAAAAGTTTAAAAATAATACCAGGAAGTATGACTTTACTGAGAGGGTAGTGGATGCATGGAATAGCCTTCCAGCTGAAGTGGTAGAGGTTAACACAGTAAAGGAGTTTCAGCATGCGTGGGATAGGCATAAGGCTATCCTAACTATAAGATAAGGCCAGGGACTAATGAAAGTATTTAGAAAATTGGGCAGACTAGATGGGCCGAATGATTCTTATCTGCCGTCACATTCTATGTTTCTATGTTTCTATAGGTTTCCATGGCAACTGCTCCACTTTCAGAATTACAAAATAAACACATCTTTGCCCCTGAATTGCTGTTTATACATTTTTCTTGTGCTAAAAACAAAACAGCACACTTCAAAATTCTCCAAACCAATATCAGAACACAAGGGAATGTAAACCTTTTATTTGTTTAATTAAGTACTTCTGCTCATTTATTTAAACCTATGAAATAATAGTGATTTATTATATGGAAAACTATGCAAAAAATAACTAAAGTTCATTAAAAATCAAATGGCTTCAATAAAATATAGACATATGAGAACAATTATATTTTAAGATGAAATATTTTTGTTTTTCATTTCGCAAATGTTATTTAAGAAGAAACATCAAGGAGATGCGTTTATTTTGTAATTGAGTCTCGAGGTCTGTAGAATAATCTGTTCCTAAGATCTTTGCCTAAAATGGCAGTTTTCGTTCAGAGAATATAAATCACATTTACATATTCCTACATTTCGAAGCCATATAATAATTATTACAGTAACACTATACTTATAACCAAGAAAGTTGAATAAAATGTTAAATTAAATGTCACATACCTCTCGCATTGGATTATCTTATTCCCAGATTCAGTAGGAGGTTTTTCCAAAGTACATCCGCATGTTACCAAAATATAAATCACTAGATGATAAATTCTATTCCTGAAAGATGCTTCTTTCAACTCAATCCACTGATGGATGTTTATATTTTTTTAAAAGCAATAAATGTGAGTTCCTTCGAACGCTGGTGTCATGCAAACCGCTGTGTAAAATGATAAAAAGGCAGGATGAAGCAAATCTTTCTGTCCCATGAACATCAGATTGCTGGGAGTTATACCAAACAGAAAGGAAACATTTTCTAGCCTTTGATGACTCAAAGGGTGGAGGGGGAAATAGGAGGATTTGCCAAAGAGATTTATAAACTAAGACACTATTATCTGGTCTCTTTACCCGAAGGCAAGGCAATTCTGGCCTTTTGTTTAAACAGAAGGTTTTTCCTGTAAAAAAATAAAATAAAAAATGATCCTGGTCTTAAAGTCTCCAAATTGTTTAATTTATCTAAATATACAGGAAATAACTTTTGTCGCTTTTAACAATTATTTCATCCAAGTGAATTAATCTGTAGAAGTGTAGAGTTTATTAACTAGACATTTTATGGCAGTGAATTTAAAACCGAATCTTAACATTTAGGCAAAATGTGCAGCCTTGGGAAAATTTGACAGTTCCAGGCTTTCTTTTCAACGCAGTACAATTTAGTTGTATTGAATACATTCTTCTTTTTTGAAATGAAATCAAAATTAAATTCAAGGATTTATTTTTGGGCACTCGTATATTTCTCTTTTTTTAATATGGCACTAATTATCAAACATTTAAAACAAATATCTTAAATCAGGGGTGCCCAAAAGGTAGACCCCAGATTTTGTAGAAATTTATCTTTAGAATGCTATAGAATGACAAAATTTTATTAAAGTTGTATTTTTAAAACATCTGGTGAGCTACATTTTGGGCACCCCTGTCTAAAATATTTATACAGCCTCCAGCTAAAACCAGCTTGGTAGATAACCAGGAAAGCCATACATTACATTTCTGAACTAAAACTTTGGACATATTAATTCATAGGTGACTATTTAAGTCGTAAAACTTTACATGAGAATGGTTATTTTTTTATTATTTATTGTCATTTGCTTGGGGTGGGGGTCTTTCAATGCCAAATTATGGTAAATTGAAAACTGATTGGCAGAATTTTATCTGAAATAGCGAAGTTATATAAATTTTGCCATTTGGTTTTCGATTAATGAACATCTGATGTAAGTAAGCCCCTTAGTTTCAGTAAATTCACCTTTCATAAACTGAACATATTTTATGTTTTGTGTTTTTAAGACCTATTGTAGTTTTAGATAAAGTTGAGCCATTTTTTTTGCCTCTGCAGAACTCTATCATGTGCCTTTTTGCAACATTTATTGCTTGACATTATTGCACAGTCGTTATTCGGCATGTGCCAACCATACTTTAATAACACACAGACACAGAAAATTCTGTTGGAGTATAAAGTCCACAGCTTTATTAATTAATATCAATATATAAATTAACAATTTAGGGTCATTGTCAACAGTACTCCTTCGTTAGGCTCTCTTCCTATATCATACCCCCGACAATGACCCTACCAAAACAAACATTAGCATAACCAATAATACATACACATAACTCAACGGCCTACCAAGAGGCCCCACCTCCATTTGTCTAACTGCAGGGGTGTACCCAGACACCCCTACACCCCTTGGTTCGTAGCCACCGACGGGCTCGAACCTACCTCCATACTTTTGACTTCCGGCCTACTCCAGCCTAGACCTTGGCCTACCAATTTCTTAACCCACCAAAATTCCAGTTTAACCAAGACCTTTTCCCGCCGCTGTGACCAAACGGGAACTACTACTAACTCATAGGGTGGGTGGGAGGGACAATTTACAGGTAAGAAAGGCTCAAGTTAGAATGAACTTACCCTAAAATGGCCGCTATTTAAACTTCCCTTCTAACCCACGCCCCCCAGCACAATCACAGGACAGCCTCTTGACCTGAACTTCACCCTGCCTACTCCTGGCTCTGTCAAGGCCCACTCCTCCCTGCGTTGCTCCGTGGTTTCATGACATTATTGCACAGTCGTTATTCGGCATGTGCCAACCATACTTTAATAACACACAGACACAGAAAATTCTGTTGGAGTATAAAGTCCACAGCTTTATTAATTAATATCAATATATAAATTAACAATTTAGGGTCATTGTCAACAGTACTCCTTCGTTAGGCTCTCTTCCTATATCATACCCCCGACAATGACCCTACCAAAACAAACATTAGCATAACCAATAATACATACACGTAACTCAACGGCCTACCAAGAGGCCCCACCTCCATTTGTCTAACTGCAGGGGTGTACCCAGACACCCCTACACCCCTTGGTTCGTAGCCACCGACGGGCTCGAACCTACCTCCATACTTTTGACTTCCGGCCTACTCCAGCCTAGACCTTGGCCTACCAATTTCTTAACCCACCAAAATTCCAGTTTAACCAAGACCTTTTCCGCCACAGCACTTGCCTTGACCCCTTAAGGACATGTGCGACCCCCACCACACAAAAACAGGGCTTGCGCTATCCCGTCTTGCAAACCTAAATTAAAAAGGTCATAACCAACATCCGATAAGTGCACCCCGTCATCACGAAAGTAACCCGGTAATCTCTCCTCCAACTCCCGATGCCTCACCACCACGCCTCCTAACCTTCGAATGAACACCGCCATGGTCCTGTTCACTTTACCCCGACATCGAGAAACTGCCTTCTCATCCCTGGCGTATCTCCAGCATAAACGAGGTACCATCTCCGACCATACCACTTTCACGCCAGGGACAAGCCCCCTTAGTCTGTCAACATCCTGCTTCATACACTTAACCAGTTCACGCTGGGGGACCAGACCCAAGTCGTTTCCCCCCCCGTGAATTACCACCACGTTCGGCAAGGGCTCCTCCGCTACCTTCCGAAACAATACCGTAATAATGTGCTGCCAGTCAAACCCCCGATAACCGAACCAGAATAACGCCACCCGATCCTCAGGAAAGCCCAGCTGTGTTCCATGTCTTCTAACTGCGGCCCTCCTCCTTGCCCAATGGATATACGAATGGCCAATTATCCACACCGTCCAACCTAAAATAAAACATAACATTGAGGAAACATCACCAGCACATCCCAAACACCCACAATCAACCACCCCTTCACACCAGCCTATCTGGCCGTACATAAGAGCGAAACCTGAGAGATTCCCATCTCCCAATTCGTCTAATCCGCTCATCCCCTAAACCCAAGCGAGCCGCTTCTGTCGCCGCGCCTATTCGGAATGAATGTGTTCCAAACTGCATGGGCTCCAGACCCAACTTCTGTAATCCCAAACGGAAAACCCGCACAAATTGGAAGCGCGACAGTGCCGTGCCGTCGGCATGTATGAAGAAACAACCGCTCCCTATCGGGCGTAGTTCCAAAAACCCGGCCCCACTTGCCACCGGACACAA